AAGGAGGAGATGCAGTCAGTCACTGAGCTGAAACACAGTGTGTGATTTGCTGAATGTAACACTGATGATCTATGTAAACCTTCACTCAATACATAAAAACGTTTCCCCAAAGAGCAGTCACTTAAACTTTGCACAACGCTGACAATAATTAAACATCCCATCCAGTGTCAATTATTATAAAATTGAGAGTTAGTGAAATGAGTTTTGAAAAATTGCTAAAATTTGATGGGGTGTGTATTAAGCAAAATCACCTTTTGGCATGTTCGTTATGTGGCTAGCTGGCTGACATCAGATGCCGAAGCAACTGACGATGCAGAAACAGAAGGCAGGGCATGTGTGGAGAGAGACAGGGAATTCCTGGCAGGCTGCTGCCCCGTCTCTGGGAAGTTTGAGACAAGGTCATGGGTAGAAGGTGAGCGCTGACAGTGAGGATGAGGAGAAACAAAGGTAAGAAACTGTCCTACTGAGTAGGGGAGAGGGTGCACCCCAGAGAAGACTGAGTGTTAATGCTGGGTGTCCTTTAGCTATGTGGGCTCACAAACCTGAAAGGGAAATCTGTCCACACAGTATGCCAGGGCTTCAAACCAGTTCATCCCAGTCCTACCTACTGAGAATTTACATATCTACATTTCCACCCCAGACATACCTAATCAGAATCAAATTTTAACAATAACTTATAGGACGACCCTGGTGTGGCACTGTAGGACAGCACTGGACTGCTAACCAAAATACTGGTGGTTCAAACCCACCAGCCACTCCTTAGAAACCCTATACAGGGTCACCATGAGTCACAACTGACAAGACACTGCTCATCAGCACACAACAATGTATGCCAAAAATATCACCTAGAGTGCTTGTTAAAGTACACACTCTAACTGTGGGTATGTAGGGTGGAAATGAAAGTTCTTATCTGGGGGGTCAAACCAGGCGAGGACTAAGCACACAGCTTACCTAAGGTCACAGTTCTGCCAGGTGGGTACAACCGAAGCAGGACGAGAATAAATGGTGTTGGGAACAAACAAGATGGTGGATGGGTGGAAGTGCAGTAAAGGAGCTCCTCCAACAACAACACAAAATACCCGATCAAGCAGGCTCAGGGGCTGGGCCCAGAACTCTGAACCACATATAAAGGAATATTGAGAAGGTTGGAAGGCTCACAGCTGGGGAAATTTGTGGCAGAAGCAAGAAATCTATTGCTTTCTAGTCCGGGATGCTCAGCTGCTCCAGGAGCCGCCATCTTGGGTGAGACCATGCGGGGGAAGGATCAGAGCGGCCACAGACGCCTGGCAGAAACACTGAGATAAAGGTGTGGACATTCTTTTCCTTTGGTAGCTGTTCATTGGTCCCTTGCTGTCTGTGCACCTCCATTCGGGTAACTATAGGGGTGCCTGAGCTAGTGGGCACCCTAGCCCCACCCTCGGAGGGTTCTACTACACATGGGCACAGATCGCCTCAAAATTTAAAGAGACAGTTTCCAATTAAAACCAAATGGCCACAGCTGGCCCTGAACTGTTTCCAACTAGAAAAAAGGCCTGAATGGGGATTGTGGAGCGGGACACGCAGACAAAAGGGGTAATAGACTAAAAATTAAATCCTAAGTTATGTCAAAATGACCAACAGTGGTATCTTGAAACTTCTCAGGAAGAAGAGTGAAAAGGGAAGCCTATTTCCTAATCACATCTACCTGGAGGCATTATGAAAGCATAAAAAAAATACCAAAATACACACCCATCTAAGTACTAATTCCACAGATAACCCCTGAAGATGCCCAAAAAACAGAAGCAGATGACCATATCTGCACATGTCCAGAAAC